TTGGCGTTTGGTTTTGTGTTTCCCTCGGCTTAGTTTGTAACCTTGATTTATTTCTACTTGATCGATTCATGACTATATTTTTTTTGCAGACAGTATATGGTCTGATGCCCAGTTTTTGCACTTTTCAATGAAAACTTGCATGTAGTTTTAGTCTCAACACGTATGTGTCTGAACCACTTACTATCCTTATGAAAAAAATGAAGGTTGTATATGAAATGAATAAGGTGCACTTATTATTGAGAAGTGCTTCTATTATAGATTTAGTGAGATATTATGATGAACTTCATTTTTAATGTACAAAGCACTTTCATTTCACGTGCATCAAACTTTGCCATTCGACCAGGACCATCAATACAACACATTTTGCATATGTGTTTTGTTTTTATGATCTACTTTTTATGACCCCGCTGTATCGGAGGGGTATTAAGTTTTACCCTTGTCCGTCTGTACGTATGTATGTACATTACCCTTTAACCTGGTTATTTTTATACTTGTGGTTTATGTATATCACGTTTTTTTTTAATCGAGAAGCCATCAAGATGTCTACATGTAGAGAATTATTAATCTTAATTAAAAATCTATGCTGATTTCTTATCTAGGGAAATAAAACGTTAATATTTATGAATTTGTGCTTTTTATACCTAATGCATATGATATAATTCTTTCATTTTATTTGCAAAGTATCCTTTGAATGGGCTATATCAAAGTACAACAAATTCCAAACATTCCAGGAAGAAATTTCTATTAAGTCTTATCGTACCTCTTCGGTCCTTTTTTAAGTTACAAAATGTTGTAATTAATAACATGAATAACTCATTTTGTTGATATCTAAAACTATATCTGAGGGGCATAAGTAGCAAGGAAAATTTATAAAAAATATGAGAACCTGACCTAGACCTGTGACTATCATCTTGACCTTATTCTCTTTTCAGTGACCAATGAAATGTAATCAAGAGACCCTAGAATTCTATCAAATACCTTTACATATAACTTATTTCGATTTATTAGAGAGAAGTGAATGATCATATTAATAATATTCAGAAGGTTATTTTAAAAGATTACAGTGACCATGTAAAAGAGTCAAAAAGACGAGTTTGGTGGAAAAATCATGTCAGGAACATCCGCTAGGAGCTCCAGCAATGGTTCATTGATGACAAACAATGCGAGAATTGGACATGCAGCACAACAAACGTTTCCAAACATTTTACAGGATATAATCTAAATAAAAGAACCACAACATAGACTATATAGTGACGTGACAAGCAATCTGTATCTTAACCGTAATTTGCGAGCAGATGAATGGTCTATGATCAACAATGTACGGACAAATGGTTACGTAAATTTTGATATTCCATTGATTTATAAACTTGTTAGAAACTTAAATTTAGTTTTTTCCGACTAAATGATGGGATTTTCACATTCCTCCAGCAGTCAACGAATTATAACCTGGAGATGATATTGAGCGCATTAGACGGATCCGAAATGATATACTTCATAGAGGAAATGCGCAAGTGTCAGATACGGATTATTTTAAGACGTTCAAAGACATTGCAATTCGATTTGAAGTTTTCCTATGTAAACCAAAAGGAGAATATTTACAACGCTTCAGAACCTAGAGAACTGTTGCATGGACGAAAAAACTAAAAATATTTATTTAGAACGCCTTGACACTCTTTTGAATAAAGGTAGGCATGCATGTTTTCACTTACTAGTAGATATAACACTTTAAACGATAAATCACATTGCAGTCGCGCTGTCTATTAAAGCAAGTAATCGCAAAATAACCAGAGGCATACTTCGACAATTTTCCTCAATTCTCACGTAAAAGTCCTTAAATGTTAATGTTTATACAAGCATTTGTACTGTCGATCTAGACATTTAATAAGGGTCGTTTTAGCGCATACATTATATCACAACTCATGTTTAAAAAAAGTCTGCTTAATTAATTAATTATTTTCTGAACACTTTATTTTATGTCTATCAACCTGAATTCATTGGTAAAAGTTATTCTTGTGTTGTTGTGTGTTTTCTTGTACAATTTTTTTATCAGTTGGTTATTTAACAGAAATTTGTTTTGTTGCGTTCTTTTTAGAACAAGAATACATCGGACAGTCTAAAATAAAAATAACCACTTAATAAATTGCGTGCGTCCGTAGCGTTTTTCTTGAATAAACTTCATCCGGAACTCTCAAACCTAAACAATTAAGACCCATGACTGTATGAAACAGCCAAAGAAAGTTTAATAGACCTTAATAACCAACTCATCTCAAATGACAATTAAAACTTTTTACCTTGAGAATATTAATTTGGTCATCTGTACGTATTTCGTTCTAGGAGTAAAACATTGGTAACATAGACGTCCGTTTGGATGTGTATAAATACGCAGCAACATTCGGTCAAAATGAAGGTGAGATCCATGCTCTCTGCATCATTAAAGGACCTCGCGTATTGTAATGAAAAATGGGTGTTCCCATTCAAATACACAAATATTTTCTATATACATTCAACTATATATATTTATGGTATTTTGAATTATTGATTCTTTATCCCTCTGGATCCCTACCGTGCAGAACCTACTAACTTTATTTATTGTTTAACTTGTTTTCGTCCTGAACATGCATGGAATAATTGCCACTAGACGTTAAGCAATCAACAATAAATTATTCAACAATATATATCATGTATATAAAAAAACTTTATTATATATTTGCATTATGTGTATTTTTTTTAATTTCATATAAGATGAATGATATTTCTGTAAGCGATACCTTGACATAAGAAAGTATCGTTATTTTTTATATATTATAATCATTGTTTACTTGTAGAAAGTCATCAAATTGAAATAGAGGAATGGAAGGAACAAAATAAATTGTTCTTCAAAACAGATGCCGTTGATTTCGTTTTGGAATCCTTGGCTGACAATAACTGCTGCACGGTCATAGGAACATCAGGAATTGAAAAATCTGCAACTATTCATCATGTTGCATTGTTTCGCGATACTGAAGGTTATCGTATTATTCATATACACAGTACTTCCGATATCGAAAAATACTTTCAGAGAAATCGAAAGCAAATATTTGTAATCGATGATATATGTGGCAAATATACCGTCATCCAAACAGAAGTGAAATGAATCAATACAACGTGTGTTAAAACAAAATAATACTAAAATAATTGCTTCATGTCGCATTCAAGTGTTCAATGAAAATCAATTTAAAAGATTAAAGCTTTTTACTGAGCACGTTTGCGATTTATCTTCAGATACCTTGTATCTATCAACGCAGGTAAAACTACAAATTGCACGTCAGTATTTGCCTCAAGCGGCCGTGGAACAGATAGAACATGATTTGGACAATTACGAGTTTCTGCCTTTAATGTTTGCCTTGTACAAATCATTATGCAATGGAAGTAAACACTTAGACATCGTTAAGTTTTTCAAAAACCCGTTTAATATATACACTGAAAAAATAGATGCGCTGTATGATCTTCTCGACAAAACGAAATTTTGCGCATTGTTTTGTCTCGTTATAAATAATGGTTATTTAGATGTATCTGTCCTTACAAATGACAAAAGTGAACAAGAACGACAAATGAGGGAAGATTTCTTTGAAGATTGTTAAATTCCGAGAAACACTCTTCGCCAGCGTATACTGGGTCAACTTAAATCTCTTGTTCCTCTATTTGTTAGATCAAATAACGATCTTTCCGGACAAGTAATATCATTCTCTGCAATACATAATAAAACATTTGACTTCCTCAGTTTTTATTGTGGCAATAAGTTTCAGCAATCATTTTTACGATTTGCCTACATTGAAATGTTGAACGAACGTACAACTCTAAACTCGTTAGTTTCAACGGATGAAGATGTTGAGGAATTCACCATCTTGATAGATGATTTAAACGAGGACATGTACTTTAAAAGAATAGTAGATCAGTGACCAGTGAAAACTTGCTAGCTTACTCTACAGCAGGCAGATGAATTATGAAACATACAGAAACAAACTGATTAACTTTCTAAATAGATTACCCAAAGACAAATGCATGGAAATGATGACTATTGAAATCGATAAGGCAGTTGTTCAGTTTAATTTTATTGATGATAGCTGCTCTGGATCACTTTTCGTCTCACCGTTGAGTTTAGCTTTTAAAAGAATTTTTTCTGATTTTGTCAGATATATATTAGATTTCATGAATGACACTAAAGGAGCATCATTTTCTTTTTTACTTATGAAAGCCTGCTGTTCAGGGCCTACAGATATTGTCAGGATATTGATAGACAAGGGTTCGAATATTGATTTCAGAGATACAAATGGATGGACTCCTTCAATGGCAGCATGTGAACATGGTCATAAAAGCATAGTAGAATTGTTACTTAAATCTGAGTCAAATGTAAGACAACCTGATAACTATGGATGGACGCCATTTATGAGAGCATGTGGAAAGTGTCATGCAGAGGTTATAAAAGTCCTAATAGAAAATGGAATACAAACTAATCAAAAAGATAAATATGGACAAACACCTTTCATGTTGGCAATGGAAAATGGTCATCTTAATACCATCCAGCTTCTGCTAAAAAAATATTCAATGCACGATATTGACAATAAGGTAAAATCGCCGTTGATATTCGCTTGTGATAATGGATGGAAAAATGTTATTGAACTGATGATAAATCATGGAGCAGATGTTAATATCGTTGATATTTATGGGATGACTCCTTTATTAGCTGCAGCTAAACATGTCTACAAACAGATTGTAATGGTACTATTAGCAGCCGGTTCAATTGTTTACGGTATTGTGAAAATATATCTATCTTGATTAAATGGGCATTCTATGAAGAAAATGAAGATGTCATTAAAATTTTAACAAATTATCCGGATGAATCTCAAGGAAGTAAATGTGGATGGATTCCATTGATAGCTGTCACCATAGACAAACGAGAAAATTTTGTTAAATTGTTAATAAGTCAAGGAGGAAACGTCAATGTATCAGATATAAATGGAATGACTCCGCGTTCTTGGGCCTGTAAATTTGACCATTTTGAAATAACCAAAGTACTTATATCTAAAAAAGCAAATCCGAATTCTTCTAATGTATTTAGAAAAACACCTCTTATTTATGCATGCGAAAACGACAATAATGATATAATTCAATTACTACTTGAAAAAGAAGCAGAAGTTAATTCGTTCGATGAGAAAGGAGACTCCCCTCTCCATTTCGCTTGTAAAAATGACAACAGTGATATTGTCCGATTATTAACAGAAAAAGGAGCTGATGTTAATGCATCCAATAAACTTGAAGAAACTCCTTTATTGTGGTCAATAGAAAATAACAACATTGACGTTTTCCGATTAGTGATAGAAAAGGGAGCAGCCGTTAATTTATCTAATAAAAGTGGACAAACCACTCTAATGTGGTCATTAGAAAACGGCAACAATCATTTTTTGATAGAAAAGGGAGCAGACGTTAATTTATCTAATATGTTTGGAGAAACAACTCTAATGTGGTCATGTCAAAAAGACAACAATGATACTATCCGATTATTGATAGAAAAAGGAGCAGAAGTTAATGTATCTGATAAAAAAGGAGAAACCCCTCTTATATTGTCATGTCATAATGACAACAGTGATCTTGTCCGATTATTGATAGAAAAAGGAGCAGAAGTTAATGTATCTAATATAGAAGAAGAAATCCCTCTTATATTGTCATGTCAAAAAGACAACAGTGATCTTGTCCGATTATTAATAGAAAAAGGAACAGAAGTTAATGTATCTGATAAAAAAGGAAAAACCCCTCTGATATTGTCATGTTACAATGACAACAGTGATCTTGTCCGATTATTTATAGAAAAAGGAGCAGAAGTTAATGTATCTGATAAAGAAGAAGAAACCCCTCTTATATGGTCATGTTACAATGACAACAGTGATCGTGTCCGATTATTGATAGAAAAAGGAGCAGAAGTTAATTTATCTAATAAAGAAGAAGAAACCCCTCTTATATGGTCATGTTACAATGACAACAGTGATCTTGACCGATTATTGATAGAAAAAGGAGCAGAAGTTAATGTATCTGATAAAAAAGGATAAACCCCTCTTATATTGTCATGTTACAATGACAACAGTGATCTTGTCCGATTATTGATAGAAAAAGGAGCAGAAGTTAATTTATCTAATAAAAAAAGAAGAAATCCCTCTTCTATGGGCATGTTGCAATGACAACTGTGACCTTGTCCGATTATTAATAGAAAAAGGAGCAAAAGTTAATGTATATGATGAAAAAGGAGAAACCCCTCTTATATTGTCATGTGACAACGACAATAGTGAAATTGTCCGATTATTGATCGAAAATAGAGCAGACGTTAATGTATATAGTATGAATGGAGTTAACCCTCTAATAGTGTCATGTGTACATAACAACAGTGATATTAGCCGACTCTTGATAGAAGAAGGAGCAGAAGTTAATGTTTCTAATATAAATGGAGTGACCCCTCTTATAGTGTCATGTAAACATGACAATAGTTATATTATCCGATTATTAATAGAAAAAGGAGCAAACGTAAACGTTTCTGATGAAAGGGGACTAACCCCTCTTATATGTTCATGTAAGTATGACAACAGTGACATTGTCCGATTATTGATAGAAAAAGGAGCAAACCTTAATGTATCTAATAGTTTTGGAAAAGATCCTCTAAGTTTGTCATGTAAAAATGGCAACAGTGATCTTGTGCGACTATTGATAGAAAAAGGAGCAGAAATTAATGTAGTCAACGAAGATTGCCTATCCCCTCTCATTTGGTTATGTGAAAATAACAACAGTGATATTGTCAGATTATTGATAGAAAAGGGAGCAGAAGTTAATGTTTCTGATGTGGATGGACAGACTCCTCTAATATGGTCATGTAGAAATAACAACAATGTTATTGTCCGATTATTAATAGAAAACGAAGCAGACGTTAATGTTTCTAACGAAAGGAGACAAACCCCTCTTATGTGGTCATGTAAAAATAACAACAGTGATATTATCCGATTATTGATAGAAAAAAGAGTACAACTTAATGTATCTAATAGAAGTGGAGAAACCCCTCTTACATTGTCATGTAAACATAACAACAGTGATACTATCCGATTATTGATAGAAAAAAAGCAGAAGTTAAAGTAGTTAATAAAGATGGCGAAACCCCTCTTTCATTGTCATGTAAAAAAGACAACAGTGATACGATCCGATTATTGATAGACAAAGAAGCAAAAGTTAATGTATCTAATAAAAGTGGAGAAACCCCTCTTATGTGGTCATGTTATAGGGACAACCGTGACATTATCCGATTATTAATAGAAAAAGGAGCAAAAGTTAATGTATCTAATGAAAGTGGAGAAACCCCTCTTACATTGTCATGTTACAAGGACAACAATGATATTGTCCGATTATTAATAAAAAATGGAGCAGACGTCAATGTGTCCAATAAAAGTAAACATAACAACAGTGATATGATCCGATTATTGATAGAAAAAATAAGCAGAAATTAATGTAGTTAATAAAGATGGCGAAACCCCTCTTATATTATCATGTCAAAAAGACAACAGTGATACTATCCGATTATTGATAGAAAAAGAATCAGAAGTTAATGTGTCTAATAAAAGTGGAGAAACCCCTCTTAGATGGTCATGTTACAGGGACAACAATGATATTATCTGATTTTTTATAGAAAAAGGAGCGAAAGTTAATTTATTCAATAAAAGAGGAGTAACCCCTCTTATATTGTCATGTCAAAAATACAACAGTGATACTATCCGATTATTGATAGCAAAAGGAGCAGAAGTTAATGTAGCTAATGTAGATGGAGAAACCCCTCTTACATTGTCATGTTACAGAGACAACAATGATATTATTCGATTTTTAATATAAAAAGGTGCAGAGGTTAATGTATCAAATATGAAAGGAGAAACCCCTATCATAATGTCAAGTGAAAATTACAACAGTGAAATTGTTCGATTATTGATAGAAAAGGGAGCAGATGTTAATGCATTTAAAAGCTTTGGAAAAACCTTTCTTATGTGGTCTTATACATAGCAACAGTGACATTGTCCGATTATTGATTGAAAAAAGGAGCAGATGTTAATGAAACTAATGCAGATGGACAAACACCCTTAATATTGTCATTGAAAAACAACAACATTGATACTGTCCGACTTTTCATACAAAAAGGGGCAGACGTTAATTTATTCAATACATATAATGGAACCCCCCTAATGTGGTCATTAAAAAGTGGCAACAGCGATGTTTCACGATTATTGATAGAAAAAGGAGCAGACGTTAATTTATCTAATATATTTCAAGAAACCCCTGTTATATTGTCATGTAAAAATAGCAACAGTGAGATTGTCCGATTATTGATAAAAAAAAAAGTAGAAGTTAATATAACTAATATGACGGGAGAAACCCCTCTTACATGGTCATGTTACAAGGACAACAATGATATTGTCCGATTATTAATAGAAAATGGAGCAGACGTCAATGTGTCCAATGAAAGTGAAGAAACCCCTCTTTCATTGTCATGTAAACATAACAATAGTGATATTATCCGATTATTGATAGGAAAAGGAGCAAAAGTTAATTTATATAATAAAAGTGGAGAAATCCCTCTTATATTGTCATGTTATAGGAATAACAGTGATATTATCCGATTATTAATGGAAAAAGGAGCAGACTTTAATGTAACTGATAAGAAGGGAGAAACCCCTCTAATATGGCCATGTAAACATAATAACAGTGATATTATCCGATTATGAATAGAAAAGGGTGCAGACGTTAATGTATCTGCTATGGATGGAAGATCCCCTTTAATATTGTCATGTGAAAATAACAACAGTGAAATTGTCCGACTATTGATTGAAAAAGGAGCAGACGTTAATTTATCTGATGTGGATGGGCAAACCCCTCTTATAGAATCATGTGACACGGAAAACAGTGATATTATCCGATTATTAATAGAAAAGGGTGCAGACGTTTATGTTTCTAATATGGATGGAGAAACCCCTCTTATATTGTCATGTTACAGGGACAACAGTGATATTATCCGATTATTAATAGAAAAAGGAGCAGACGTTAATGTTTCTAATATAGATGGAGAAACCCCTCTTATATTGTCATGTCAAAACGACAACAATGATATCATCCGATTATTAATAGAAAAAGGAGCAGACATTAATGTAAGTGATATGAACGGAGAAATCCCTCTTATATTGTCATGTCAAAACAACAACAGTGATACTGTCCGATTATTATTAGAAAATGAAGCAGATATTGATGTATCTAATGGTAATGAAGAAACACCTCTATTGTTGTCATGTAGAAACGGCAATTATAGTAATGTTCAATTGCTTATAGTAAAAGGAGCAGCCGTTAACTTATGTGACTATGACGGGATGACTGCACTGTCTTATGCTTTTAGAAGCTGTTTTTTTTTTTAATTGTTTAAGAACTAATTCTGAACGGGGCTGATTTGTTCTTAGCAGATAAAAACGGGAAAATACCTTCGATGTATGCAAATGAAACCGAAGATCGTAAAATTGAAAACTTTTTTATTAAACACCTATATAAATTTCACTCATTCAATAGAAAGCGTAAACTATCTGAATTCGAAACTGATACTGAACATGCTGAAGTCATTTATGAACAAGTAGCGAAGTATTTGAAAATTGAGAATGATCAACTTTAAAAGCAAGTGTTAGTTACAAACCGTAGAATGTGCAAGCAATATCATAACTCTGAATTATCTGATTTTTTTTATAGCATGAACACTTCCAGGGAATCAAATAACAACAATTAGATTTAAAATACAATATGCAAGATTCTAATTTAAGTGTGAAAAATGTTCTACACTAAAAGTTGTAACTTATGAGAAGACGAAGTCAACTTTAAGATTGGTTGCATCACGGTATTTCATATTATATTACTGTTATTATCAAAATAAAGAAACTGTTTATATAATAAAACAAAACATAAAAAGTATCAATCATATACCTGATGAAAATGATAAAAATGATATAGAACAAAACTCTTGACCAAAAGATCTTAAGGTATTTCTTAACATTATTTGACCTTTTTGATTTTTTTATTCGAGCGTCACTGATGAATGGTTTGTCGACAAAACGTGCATTTGGCGTACACAATTTTAATTCTGGTATCAATGATGAGTTTATTTAAGACAACCATTGACCAATTTGGGGAATGCATATGAGCAGGTAACGGTATTTAATCAATGTTTTATATTTTAATTAGTTGATTACAAACGACAAACAGAAAAATTTGTTTCGATGAGATTGATTATTGAGATTGTATTTATTACAAGTATGACTTATGTTTGTCTTAATCTAATATTTATGTAGAGTGGTATACTTTGAATGTTGTCATATTTAATTTATATCGCGCCTTAACTAAATTCAACATGTTTAAAACAATTAAACAATACAAATCAATCCCTACAATAATCAGTGCAAGATTTAGGTTAATGATGAATATAAAATTGTGAGTAATGACAATGTTCAGACAAGGAAATTAGCCAATACAGCATTTAATTTGATAGGATAAGGCCGTGTTCACACCAAACACTGTGTACTGTTAACCTGTTTACAATTAGTATCATGTAGTGAACATTGGTTTCACATTAAATTTCTATTCATCTGTACATCGATTTTAATTACCTGTACATGAGAATTGTTCATATCGGTAAACAACATGTACACGTAATTTACATGTACACTAAATAGAATTGAATTAAACATATCTCTGTTAACTTTTGTATCAGTTAGGCATAGACCAATTTATATTTTTTATTATAGTTTTCTAAAAAAAAACAATTTTTGGGGAAAGGGGGAGATAACTTGTTTAAATTTTTTTTTAAGAAAAAAGGATTTGTTCCAGAAGGGAAGTGAGAAAAATTGTTTGAATTCTTGAAAATGAAGTACATTGGATTCAACATGGAGTTTTAAAAATGTTCCTGTACGTTATTGAACACGCAATGTTTTTTTTTTATTACAGTAATAAAAAGAATGGTTTGTACCAAGAAAATCGTTCTATTGATTTGGAGAACTTCAAGAATTCTAAAGATTTCATGATTACGTTGCTAAAACAGCGTAACAATAGGCGAAAAAATAGGAATTTGCAATATAACATTGATTGATCAATTGGTGGTTGATAAACGTCCAGTAGCAATTATTTCATACGTGTTTAGGATGTGAACAAATTCACAATAAAAAAAATGGTAGGTCTTTTAATAGAGGCCGTTCGAGACGGAGCCAACCATACGCTCTACTTTAGAAGGGTTTTACGGCCGATCGGAAGAAGATCTGAGTAACCGTTTACTATTCCCCAGTCAATATATGGTAAATATGGGAATGCAAAGTATAGACTAGCACTAACTGTAAAAATAACCTTGTCAACGTCCCATTCAAAAGTCCGTGGATATTTTCAATTTAGACGACGATAAACTTCTTGAAGTACTATTAGGAGCTGTAAATGATACAGTATACGATCTCGATCCTAAAGTTTGGTCTAGAATGATGTATTACGTAGCAAAACATGTTTACCCCATTTTTAAAATATTCAGACATGTATTTTTTTAAAACAGGTTTAATTTTGAATTTTAAAATAGACATTGATTAAAAAACATTGCATGTTTGTTGTGTATATATACCAGTATCTGTGTATTGTGTGTTTTTATAAGTATATAAATTTTTTTTGCATTGTGTATTTATCTCAAAATGTATGATACTTTGTTTATTGTGTAAATAATTACTTGTTTAGTTTGTATGTAAAATCTTCATATACATGGAGGAAATAAAGATTCATTCATTCATTCATTCATTCATTCATTCATTCATTCATTCATTCATTCATTCATTCATTATAAGGCTAATAAATTTAATAATGTTTTTAAAGAACCATGTTTTGAGGTGTTGTCATAAAAATAGGAAAATAACTTAATTCATAGAATTATTATAATAATATTTATTCAATATACGTAACTTCCTTAAATTTTCACAATAAAATATACGCTCTTGATATCTTGTTTTATGAACACTTAACCCACACAAGGCCTACATTCACTATCGACTGTATGTAGTCAAAACCTGTTTTAAACTACATGTTAACATAGATTTTTATCAATGAGAACGTAATTGAGTTTAATTTAAATGTTGAGTACACTTACACCACACCGAGTTTAGCTCAATGAGAACACAGCCTTGGATGATTATGAAAACAATTGAACTAATGACATGAGAAGTAGAGTCCACTGACACAGGCACTTGTCTCAGAATTTTTTCCCCTATATACCCTAATATAACACAAGGTACTTAACTCGCATTTTTTTTTAAAATGTCGACCGGTCTCAAAATTCCGTTATATGCCAATTTCTCGGTCGTCAACCCACTGAAACTTGTTATGCCGTAATTCAAAATTGATTTTTCTACACAATGGTGTAAAACACGTCTACTTTTGTTGTCGGAATCATCCGTAGCAGGTCTACCCAAGTATGTCAATCGTAATTATGTCGTCTACCGGCAATAATTTCGCGACCGGCTGACATTTTTCAAAATTGCAAGTTAAGTACCTTGTGTTATATTAGGGTAAATAGGGGGGAAATTCTTAGACAAGTGCATGTGTCCACTGAAACAAATCAGATAGTTCTTTTTTTATATAGAGCATTTTAGGTTTATAAAATGATACTTTTCTGGTCTACTCTCAATTTTAGTGTTAAATTTTGCAATTACCCTGCTCCGATTTTAGTATAGTCATTTCACATTTTTTATCATAATGGTGTTTGTCTCTGATGCTTTTGTATTTTATTTTGTTTCAGCAGCCAACCCGCTATTTATTATATACTATACAGATATTGAACAAAACATTGCATTTTGTCAAAAGTAAGACAAAAATTTAAATACCAAAACTTCCTCACAACTGTGTTTGTAAAAATCGCTAAACTATCCAAATTTACGTTATACACCCACATTATTGTTTTGTCGACTGCTTCTTACAGACACAGACCATCAGCTTAACGACACATGTCACCTCATCAAAATTGTGTGATATTGTTCTTTGGTGGGTTTCATGGTTCTAAGTCTTTGGTTTTCTATGTTGTGTTTTGTGTACTTTTGTTTCTTTGTTGTTGTTTTTTTAATTTTTAGCCATGACGTTGTTAATAGAAATAAAAAGATATGGTATGAGTGCTGGTATGACAAGTCACAATGTGTAAAAATAAACAATAATAGTTCAAAGTACGGCCTTTAACACGGAGCCTTGGCTAACACAGAAAATGGCACCAAAATGACTAGTGTAAAAAAATTCAAACAGAACAACAGTTTTAAGTTCTTAATGCTCTTCAACTATGTAGTTGTTTGGCTTTAAAACTTTTTGATCTGAGCGTCTCTGATGAGTCTTATATAGACGAAACGCGCGTCTGGCGTATTACATTAAAAGCCGGGTACCTTTGATAACTATTCACACCACTGGGTCAATGCCACTGCTGGTAGACGTTTTCTCCCCGAGGGTATCACCAGCCCAGTATTCAGCACTTTGGTGTTAACATTCAAATCAATTATATTGTCATTTTTTTTATAAATTTTCTGTTTACAAACGTATGAATTTTTCAAAATATTACGGATTTTTTTATCCCAGGCATATATAGCCTTAGTAATATTTGGCAATTTTTTGGAATTTTGGGTCCTCAATGCTTTCAACTGTGTACTTGTTTGGCTTTATAACTTTTTTGATCTGAGCGTCACTGATGAGTCTTATGTAGACGAAACGCACGTAAGGCGTATTAAATTATAAGCCTGGTACCTTTGGTAACTATTATTTATATAATAAAAACGAGAAACGAAAAAAAGTAAAATAACAAAAATACCGAACCACATCATCAAACGACAACCGCTGAGCAACAGGCTTCGTTTATTTTCGACTAATGAGTTTGAATGTCCCTTTGGCATCCTTCGCCTCTCTTTTACTGTGAAGTTGTCCAACGTAAGGCTTGAAGTTTTACAATCATAAAGTACAGTTGAATGAATAATGGGAGTATAGCAAATCGATGTAGATCATTTGGATCCTTATTGTAAGCTAAAGTGATTATACGTACTAGTTAGGATCTGACACCATTAGGAACCTACAATCATGTAACTTGTTGCAAGGATGTATTTCAATTTAAACAATATTTTATTAAAAATGTTATGAAATGCATTGGTACCATACCAAGCCTATATAACCCCTATCAGTAAGAATGTGTTCATATGGAGAATGACACAACAAAATATTATTTTTGAGAACCTGATATTTCCTATGGAAGATTTTAATAAAACATTACCTGTAAATAGTTTCTTGTAGATATTAAGTGAAAATATTGTATGGTATATAACACCATCATGTAGCTTCTTAATTAGAACCTAAAATCAGTTGAATAATAAAATACCGTTCTTTTAACAACTGAGTTACATGTTCATAACAATTGCATCTAAAATTTTCTTTGTTATTATTTACAAATAAACAGCATATATGATACAATGTTAGTCTTGCTTTGTTTTACATTAACATACAATTCAATAATATTGCATTTTTAAATAAATTTGTAGAAACTAGAACAATAATCATCACACATTTCTAAGTTTCAATAGTATATAATATACTTTTTAAAATTTTGAGGCTTTTTTCTTTTCATATAAACAAAGTACAAACAAATCTTACAACTAACTTACCTATTTTAAAATACTGATTCTGAATAAATGGTAAGCATATGTTTTGTTAT